AAAAGGCTGGTGTTGTGTAGCAAGTGCCAGTGTGAATGTGAGTTACAAGTACCATCATTAGGAGTTATTATTGATCAGGAGTTTATTAGAAGAAATGAGAAAGAAGAACAAGAAGCCCGCAGAAGCATCATGCAGGCAGCTGAGAAAGAGACTTCCAGGAATGTTTTCCAAGGGTTGGGAGGGGATTCTCAACCTAAGGGCTTATCAGAAGTGTTCAGAGATTACGAAGTCTCTGAAGAAGTAGAAGACAGAGAAGCTAAAATACCAAAATGGGTGGACATAAGACCTCCCCAGCCAAGTTATATAGGTGGAGATGTCAGGATAAAGGAGAGGATAATGAATCCAATCACGAACAAGAATCATACCCGACTCGAGCGAAAATGGAATGTAGTTAGAAAAGATGGAAAACCTGTGAAGGAGATGAGAGCTTCTATGATTAGGAGAGTTTAGAGGCAGCACAAAGCTCATATGAACTCACTCAAAGTCCCTACTACATCAGAAACCTCTGAAATGTGAAATTTGATAAAGTACCTCATGGGGGAAGAAATCAACTTTATTGGAGAAACAAAAAAGAGGCAGAAAGAGCTAATAGCAAGATTAAAGGGGAAGAAGATCATGTGGCACAAAACCCTCATCTAGGAAAGTACAGAATCTTAAGGAGAGCTCAAGAGGATATGGTGATGATGCCAACCCCAAGATGGAGCCCAGAACCAATATGCTTTGGGACTATCTCACCTGAGAGAGGGTTGCCCGCACCTTTGCTGGTTGATACTCTCTGTGAAAACCTGGAGCAAGTAAAAGACTTTGGTATAACCCAGGAAGAAAAGTTACCCGAGTTAATGATGCCAAAAGAAGCACAGGCTTGGTTATTTGATATCATGGACCATATTAGGGGCAAAAAAGAGGATGTGCCTGAACCTAGCAACTTCCATGTAAACATGACATATGTTCTATTTGCCATGTTTTACGCCGAGCCTGATCAACCTGCCACTATGAAGGGTGATTACTTGGCAACATAACCTATGATGGCACATGTTAGTGTTCAAGAAGTAGGAAAAAAGAAATCGTGCAGAACAGGTTTACCTGAACTTACAAAGAAAGAGCCCGAGAGAGTGTACTCAGACATAATGGTCTTTAGTTGCCTGAGTTTAGCCTTGGCTAACCATCTCAAACATATATATATATATATATATATATATATATATATATATATATATATATATATATATATATATATATATATAATTGTTCATCTGGAGGGAATACCCTTCAAGAAGGTTTTGATTGATGGTGGAGCTGTGGTCAATGTATTGCCATATAAGCAGATGAAAATAGTGTGTATAAGTGATGAGGATCTCATCCCCACGGATCTAACAGTTTCCAGTTTCTCTAGAACCATCACTAGAACTTATAGGATATTACCATTGGAGGTTGACTTGGGTTCTGAGCAAATCATGTTGGCCTTTTTTGTTATGGATAATACTTCCACTTAAGGAGCTTTGCTAGGCCGAGATTGGATTCATCAGAGTCTCTGTGTACCATCTACATTACACCAACAGATAGCAGTTTACCATGAGGAATGAGCCATGGGACCAAGGAGATGGTGGAGGCCGAGTCACGACCGTTCCTCCCCACAGCTAATGTTGTAGAAGCCAGCTTTTATAATCTTAGTATTGGGATTTTTCTGTGCTTAGTAGCTGATGAGAACAGCCGCCCAACCAAGGTGACGACCTAAAAACTGCTAGAACAAGGGTTGTCCCTCACAAAGGAGGAACGAGATAGACTCCATATTGTCCTAACTCCCTAACACCAGTAATGTCAGAACAAAGATGAAAGGACCAAGTAGTTGCAGTCAAGTCCTTAATCAAAAGACTACTGGTAAATAAGAGAGAAAGAAAGCAAGAAAGAGAAAGCTTGACCAAGGAACAAAAGGAAGAAACTTTAAGTAACTAGAACAGAGGTGAAGATAAGTTTTTTGGGAAGGAGTTGGGCTAGAAAACTTACCCGAGAATCCAGAGTTAGTTGAATTTTTATGTGCAGAACCTGACAAACCACCACCAGAAGTGCAAGACCCCATAAAAACCATTGATTTAGGGACTGGGGAGGATTCAAGGCCTATACAGATCAGTGACCTGTTAAAAGTGGAAGATCGGGCAAGAATTGTCAACCTTTTGCACAGTTCAAAGACTATTTTGCTTAGCATTACACTGAGATGCCAGGTTTAGATTCAACCTTAGTAGAACCCATAATGCCTGTTAAAAAGGGATATAAACCTGTAAAGCAAGCACCACAGATGATGTCAAAGGAGATTGAGGAGAAAGTCAAATAAGAAATTGAAAGGCTAATGAAGGCTGGATTTATTAGGCCTGCCAAATATGTTGAGTGGTTGACCAACATTGTACCTGTATTAAAAGCTATAACTAATGTAGTTAGGTGTTGTGTTGGCTATAGAAATATTAATGGGGCCACACCTAAAGATGAATACCCCATGCCTATGGCTAACCTATCCATAGATGTAATTGCATAATACAATGTTCTATCTTTTATGGATGAGAATGCTGGTTATAATCAGATAAAAATGGCCAAAGAAGAGATACATAAAGCAGCTTTTAGGTGCCTTGGACATGTCGGAGCCTATGAGTACTTAGTTATGCCATTCGGGCTCAAAAATGTTGGTGCAACGTATCAAAGAGCAATGAATGCCATTTTTCATGACTTGATCAGCTATAGCATGGACGTATACATCGATGACATCGTGGTGAAGTCTAAAACTGAAGAACAACACCTAGTTGACCTCAGACAAGCCTTAATGAGAATGAGGATCCATAAGTTGAAAATGAAATCCAAGAAATGTGCTTTTGGGGTAAGATCGGGCAACTTTTTGGGATTCCTCATTCACCAAAGAGGAGTGGAAGTTGACAAAAATAAAGTTCGAGCAATAATGGAATCACCTCCTCCTACTAACAAAGTACAACTACAGAGGCTACTAGGAAAAATCAACTTCTTGAGGAGATTCAAACCTTGTAAATTCAAAGAGAAGTGACTGCAAGAAGTTCAACCTTGCCAGACAAGGTGAAATCTTGCTCGAAGCTCTTTGTTTGTTTTCTAAATTGGTAGATCTATTACTTAATGTATTCTCTAGCATGTATTCAAGTTATTTTCACTTGTTTTTCTATTATAGGAGTCCCATTGGCATCTAGATCTGATTAGTTTAAGGGACATGTTTTCATTAAGAGCAATCTAGGACTAAAGTGACTTAAGGGGCTCTGGACTCCTTCCATTCGAACATACAAGACCATGAACTAAAAGTCATTGTTTACAAGGCAAGAAAAAGAACTTAATGTGGACTTAACCCATCAACGACAATCCTTTGATAACAAGAAGTTTGAAGTAACTTTGGAGTGCAAGTAATCAACTTAAAATACACTTGTTCTACATCTGCTATACTGAGATAGCAGTGGCACGCCTAACTCTTAGTTTTGATTATGAGCCTCAAGGCCTACACCTGAGGCCCCACAAAGGCACCTATCAGAACTAACTTTGTTCTCTGCTTGTAACATCTTAGCATGCTTCATTATTAGAGATCATCTTGGTAAGCCGGTGATTGATAGGGTTCAAAATTTGGGAGAGAACACCATCTTATAGTGGAGGCGATAGTGCTAAGATAGGCTTTAAAATGGGCCTAAAGTAAAAAACTAAGATCCCATTTGTATTATTATTATTTTATTATTATAAAAAACTGCTTCACTTTAAAGTTAAGAAATAAAAAAGTGTTTGGAAAAAATAAAATATCCTTCTTATTTTTAAAGAATGGTCTTCAAATAGTAGCTTTTAAAAGCAGTATATAGGTTATTTTTAAAAGTTGCTTTTATAAAAAGAAGACTTATAAAAAGCAGAGTTGACCTTTTAATGAATATTTTAATGAGTGATGTTATTCCCACCCCAATGTCATATCTTCCCACCCACCTTTTAATGAATTTTTTAATTACAAATTTGTCTATTTGAAAAAAGACTAATAAGGACATTAATTATCTTGTTTTGTTTAATTTAAAAAAAAAAAGGTTTGGCGTGGGAGATGATTTGTCTACCTTAAATCCTAACTCATATTTTCATCTCCTTTCATTCAGAGAAAGTAAAAAAAATATCAATGGACTTAGAAGATGACTTTTTCATTGAACAGGTGGAAGATGATACTTTTAAGGAAGAGGTAGAAGATTATGTTTCTATTGAAAATGTAGAAGAATAATTTGTATGTAGGCCATTTTAATTTATCCATCACATTTTTAAATTTATCATCATCAAATTCTTTTGAATTTGGATACCTCTGTCTTTCATTTGAATTTGCAGACCTTAGTTGTTTTCATTTACATATTATTTGTTATATTTTTTAAGAGACAGTTTTATAATTTCATATGCTTGTATATATTAAAGGTTATTTTGGGAATAATAGTGGGTAGGGAAATAGCATTTTAATTTTTTAACTTTTTAAAGTGGGTGAGATTATAATATGGGTGGGAAAATAAGACAATGGGGTGGATTTAGTAACTCTCATTTTAATTCATGTTATACCCTCATTAATTTAAAAAAAATGGTATTATTTATCCTTGTACATAAATTTTATCCTTAAAAAACAAAGCGACCACCGATGCCACCACGACCACTACCGCTGCTACTGCCCCCTCTACTGCAATTGTATTGTAACCCTACACCCCAACCACCACACCCCACTATTGGCACCACTATCATACCCTAACAAGTTAAAAAGGAAAGGTACTCTTAAATAAATATAAATAAAAATCTATTAAAGATCAACAGAAACTAAAGTGTGTTCCCTTTTTTGTGTTGTGTCATACAATTGTTGGTTTCGTCACTATTTTGGGCTTAATACTTTGGCTGTGTTATCCACACTTTACTTTTTTATTTTATTTTATTTTATAATAAATCGATATTTTTACATTATGAGGAGAGGGAGTTCAACTATGAATTGATCTAATAAAATGGAAAAGTAAAGATGTCTCACTTAATTATAAACTTACACCGACTTTGAGGTACAACAAGCACTACCAATGTAAAATAAAATCATTAGCTAAGGAAGCTAAATAATTTTTTTTAAAAAAAAAGGAAGCTAAACAAATGAAACTTATAAGTTTTAGTGTAATGCCTACACTTACCACCTAGTTATACCATCATTTGTATCATCTCTCTAAAGTTAAGGTCTGCCAACGCTTGTGTATTCCGTCTTTATTAAAGATATGGTACAACCAGATGGTAAAAGTAGTATTTTTGTAATTTTTAGGAGTACCATCCTTTCATAATACCATTTCTCAATGCCTCCTTACCAGTAAACCCATAAGGCAATCTTGCCACAACATCTTGAACCATCAACTCTTTCACGCTCCATATGCTTGCATGGTAAACTTGTAGCCCTAGGCCCTTGAGTGCATTCATCAACTTAGCATATGGGTAGTCTTGATCCGGACACTGAACACGTAATGACGTCTGACCCAAAAATCTTCACATCCACTTCCACAGCCGCAGCTGCTGCCCTATCACTAATACTGTTATTATTACTATTGCTATTATTACTAATATTATAATACGAATAATGATGTTGGTCAACGATGGAGCTGGTGCTTTGGCTGGAGTGATGATCAAGATTGTTACTTGCATTATTGCCCGCTTTAGGTTTTTGTGTTTGTTCTTGGACTTTTGCCTCCAATTCCTCAACTTTTGATTTGAGTTGATTGATGTACAACACGGCATCGGCAAGCAAAGAGGACCTGTCCATTTTTGACACATTGGGAACAACTGACCGGAGGACATAGAATCGGTGGTTGAGCTTCTCCCTCCTCTGTCTCTCGGCCTCAACGTGGTTTAACAATTGTAATTCTCTACTTGCAGCTCCATGGTTTGATGATCTTCCTCTCTTTCTCAACCGATTCATGTTCTCCGTATTCTCCAATGTGAAGTTGCCAACGGAGTCAGAAGGTGTTTCCGGTGACGATTCTCCTAGATTGATAGGTGCAGCTTCGTTTATACTACCACCATGATCTAGTAAAAGAAGTATTGAACGTCAATGTTAAATTAGGTACATCGTTGAAATTATATACGTATACAAGCAGTGTACTGTGCATCATTGAAATTATAGTACTTCATTTTTTTATGCAGAATGCACAATTAAATATTTGGTGTACCACTAATAATTCTCAAAAGAATTTTTTGTTTTTTTTTTTTTTTTTTGGCAACCAAAAGAAATTGTTTAGTGATAGGTACTGATCATTGACCTTGCCATTTTTAGAACTTGATCTATATTTGATAATATCCACAAATAACCAATCAAGTTCGAACATGTACAAATTAAGTACTATAATTTGGTATTTGGTAACATAGTTTTTGGTCCATACCTTGCCGAATCAATTCCTTTTGAGCTGCTGAAAAAAGTCCATTTTCTAGGATAGGAACAAGTACATTGCCATCCCGGGTGGTCTGCTGCTTTGAGAGCTTCTTCTTGTTGTTCATGTTGATGTTGCCGTCTGATCCGAACAGCGACTTTGATAAATGCACAAGACCCCAGTCTTCTTTGATAACATCCAAAGAGGCCAGTTCAAGTACCCCACAAGGAGTTGCAATGCAAACCAAAGTTTGGATTCCATGCATTCTTGCTTCTTTGACTCTCTCACACTCATAAAACTGAAAGTCGTGGTCACCTGCAAGCCAAACAAACCCACCAGAACCAAATGCCCTGCCGACAATATTTTTACTATTATTACCCTGGCCTGCAGAGAATGACTGGGTTAAAGAAACGGTATAAAAGTAAAACCACTCGGAGTCAGTGGCATCTTCATGATCCACGAGCCTCATGTCCAAATCCACCATGTCATCATGCAAAAGAGCTTCAACTTCCTGGTTAATCACCTTACTTCTCTCTCCATTACTGAACCCAAACTTGGGTTGGTAACTGTTGATCACTCCACTGCTTCTTTTCGATGCCAAGTGATCGTGAGTGTTCCAAAAATGGCCGCCGGCCCATGACAGGGAAACTTGGTCACTAATGCTGACTTTGGAGGCTTGCCAGAAAATGGAATACACCCACCACTCGGGCCTGTTCTGAACTATGAACTGTAGGCGCTGTTGAAATGTGGAGGAGGTTTCTTGGCAGAAAGTGGGTGGAGAACATGAGGATATGATTTCTTCCATAGTATTTGCCCTAATTTGGTTTTGCTACAGAACGGCACTTTATGAAACAAGAGAGAGGAGGGTGAGAAGCAGAGCAGTGGCAGAAGAAAGTGAAATCAATAAGAGAGCGAGGCTCTCAGACTCAGTGAGTGGTGTGACCTTGCAAATTGTGTTTTGGTTATGGGCCTAAATATAGGGTAACCAATCCCTGGGTTTATGCCTTGCACTTTTTGGACTTTAGGCTAATGGCGTCAAAATGTTATAAACACGGTTACATAATAGACTTTGTTTATTTAATTAGAGACAGAGGTTTTTTGTTTAATAGGTTTGGATTCCGTTGTAAGACCTTACTCACTCTCTCATCTTTTTAGTGTAAATATTATCGTTTGTATGAGATTTACAAGATAATATATTTAAATTTACAGCGGCATTTTAAAGTATGAATTTGATAATTGAATACACATTTTTTTTTATTTTAATATTGAAAAGGATATAAAGTAGGGAATCTTAGGCCATCTCCAACCGAAGGGTCCTGATCGGATCATATTTATATATATTTTTACTTCGAATTCACTCGTCTTTTCTTAGTTAGTTCCTTATATTTTTGAGCTATTTACGTTATTTTTGTGTTTATAGGATTTGTTATGCAAAGAAAATAAAAATAGAACAAGTGAAATTTTATGTAATAAATTCGTCAAAAGCAAATTTAAATTACAATATTGCCAGCCCATTGTGACGCTAAATGATAAACCAATATTTAAACTATATATTCATCCTTTTATATTTCTTTTCTTGTCTTGTCTAATTTAGTTAAAGCTTTAAGTATTTATGATACTTTTAATTTATTGTGTTTGTAGGAGAAGAAAGTGGAAAGCACTGAGAAATTAAATAGAAGAAGTGGAGAGACAGCGTGAGCAATAGAGAAAAGCAGAAAACGTGAAAGGGATCCAAGAGAGAGAGCTGCTTTGCAGCTGGACGCGGAGAAGGAATCCAAGGAGTCAAAAGCAGAGAACAAGAGGAAAGAAAAAAAAAATAAAAAACTAAAGCTTTGCAGCTGGAAAAAAAAAGAATAAAATAATAAAATAAAGCTGCTGGGGCAGCGTGAAAAGGGACGGCAGCAAGAGGGGGGTGAGATAGAAGTAGGATTGGGGCAAAGGCAGACAAGCTGCCTTTGGGCAGCGTGGGGGGAAAAACAAGAAAAGGAGAAAAATAGGGCGGTCTTGGGGGGGAATTAAGGAAAAGGGGGCGCTGCCCTTTGGGCAGCTCGCAGAGAGCAGTGAGGGGAGAGAGGTCAGAAAACAGGCGCAGAAAAATAGAAATAGAGGAAGGCACGGGATTGGAAGGCAGGGCAGAGAGATAGAAGCTGCCTTTGGCAGCGTGGAAGAAGGCGTGGGGAGAGAGAGAGAGCACAGAAAACTGTGCGGAAAAAAAGAAAAAAAAAAGAAACAGAAGGTCAGACGGAAGAATAAGGTTAGAGAGAGGAATCGAAAGGGGAGAGAGATAGGAGAGACTGACGGAAGTCAGAGGGCAGGTCAGAGGCGCGGCAGCAGAGCAGAAGCAGTGCGCAGGGACAGACAGAACACTGAAGCACTCTCTCTTTCGGTTTAATTTTTCCAAACTTCTCTTTTATTTCTGTTTTTAATAATGTGTAATTAAATTTATGTTGGCTAGAGGTTAATTCGAAACCATGAATATATTTGTAATATGAATTGATTACCTTCGGTTGTGATTTCATAAGTTGTGATTTCAATTTACTTATCCGTTCGTATAAAAACTGATTTGTGTATGTTGGTTGAGAGTGCACGCTTAATTTACATGCATGAATTTGATGCTAGAATATAAGTGAATTTCACCTAATCGTTATGAACTTATTTTCACAAGTAGTAAAGGTTGCTAGTCACAATCACGTTAAGTAAATTCTTGGCAAGAGTATCATGCTTTTCATAGTTACGAATGCCTCGTCAATGCTTATAGTTTTCACAAAGTTTAATGATCTTTGATTGTATCTCTATTGTGCTTTTCACGTAGGGGACTTTTGAAGAATGTTTTGAATTGTTGTATGCGTTTTCCCGTCCAATTCAATAACTTAAGGAAAACTTGAAGATTAAAAAAGTGCTGTTCACGGTTAATCTGGAGTATTGAAATTCACAATTTATTAAAAGAACAACTGGAAATCATTTTGTATGCAAGTTTAACATGTGTGGAGAAGAACCCTCTAGCTAGTCCGTCATTTATCATTTTACCTTAATTTTATGTTTTTATCAATTCTGTAATTTAATTAAGTTTAATTTACTTTTCATCAAAACCAACACCCATCCATTATTAAATTATATTATTTATTTAGTTTTCTTTATTGTTAGTCTTTTAATTTAATTTCTGTCCATTTCAGTTCCTAGTGTTTAATTTGATTGTTTTCATTATTTTGAGTCATTTTAAGTGTGTTTCGAGTTATTAGAGTTTTTAGCCTAGTTTTGTGTCCTTGAGTCTTATTTAATATTTTTAAATTAATTTAGAATAGATTAGCAATCCCTCCTAATCCCCGGCCTAGAACGATACCCTACTTACATCTACTACAATTGTCAAAAAGAGGGTTTAATTTGTGTGTCAAGTAATTTTTCGCATCAGGTCCAGAGGGTCGAAAATAGCCCTAAAACCGTCTCCAACTGAGGGTTAGGCCAGAGGGCTCTGGAATCTGGGAGGGCCCCACAGAATTTCAAAGGGCCAAAGGGCCAAAAGGCTGGTTGCTTCCGGCCAGCCAGCCAGCCAGCCTCGGGCTGGCTATTTTTTTTTTATAGTTTCCCTATTGCTGTCGGTTATAACCGACAGCATTAAAGAAGGATTTTTTAATACTGTCGGTTGTAACCGACAGTAATAGGTATTCATAGGCAAATTTTTTTTTTATTTACTATTAGTGTCGGTTATAACCGACACTAATAGTTTGAATTTTTTTTTAATATAACGGCTAACTAGTCAGCTAGCCGTTGGGTTTCATTTGATTTTTTTTTTTTACATTTTTATTATTATTTTTTATTTACAAAATTTTTCATATAACTTCTATTTTTTCATTTAACTTCTATTTTTTCTTTTTTTTCCTATAACTTCTATTTCACAAAATTTATTTCATATTTTTTTTAAATTCCATTTTTTTCCTATAACTTCTATTTCATAAAAATTGTTTCATTTTTTTTTTAAATTCCATTTTATTTTCCTATAACTTCTATTTCACAAAACTTGTTTCATATTTTTTTTTCAATTCCATTTTTTTCTATAACTTATATTTCACAAAATTTGTTTCATATTTTTTTTAAATTCTATTTTTTTTCCTATAACTTCTTAAGCCATTGCATTTGACGTCATGCTGATGTCACTTAGCCGTTGGATTTGAATTTAAGTTGTAGTTTTTAAATAATAATTATATTTGGCCCCATGGGCATTTGGCCCTCGGTTGGAGACGGTTTTTTGTGAAAGGGCTAAAACGAGCTCTCTGGTCCTCTGGTCCTCTGGCCCTCGGTTGGAGACGGAGGCAAATATGGCCATGTACTGTTCATTAAAATATTAATACCTTGGAGAATCTTGGAGGGCCAGAGGGCTAAAACGAGCCATCTGGCAAGCCATCGGTTGGAGATGACCTTAATTAAACACTCATGTTACTGTTTACTTTTAACGTTAAAGATATTTTTACCTTGAAAAGTCACTCATTGTACTATTCACTTACACCTTTATTTTGTCATTTTCATTAAAATTAAAATTTTTAAGAACTTTTCGTCAATTTTCCTTATAAAGTATGAAAATGGCTTTATTGTCGGTGAATATAGAGTGGGATAGGATCTGTCACCACGTTCACGTGCTTAGCATCTGGCATGGCTTGATTTGAACTAACCTAATTCTCCTTTTCATATTCCGAGTCTCCTCATTCACCAAAAACTAAATCCGAGTTCCTCATCCTCACAATTCAGAAATCACGTGGACCACGTGGGACTAGGAATTATCATGAAAATTGGAAGAGCGGCTATTTTGAAAAAATTGTAGAAATTGTCCCCGAGTTATGACTCAATTGGAATAATGGCACTCAAAATAAAAATTCGTTATAAAGGTAATAGAGCGAAAGAGATTGTGATCTAGACAAGAAATTTCAGAATGAAAGAGATGTATGTCGATAATGGCATTAAAATCGTGAATGGAGGAGGTAGCGAAGAACTGGTCGAATCTCCTGCGCTAGAACCATTAATTTGTTAATAGTTGTAGCCCATATCATTCATTATTAATTCTCAACAAATAAAATATCTCTGGCAGCATAATAATTATTCCCAATTAAATTGATTTTATATGTTCATGTTCATGGCCTCCCCCACCCCAGTTCAAGACCAGAACGTCAAGGAGTGTTGGGCTGGATTGAGATGGTTGAGAGCGAGAGAGAGGAGAGGGGAGGAGTCTTTTGGTGGCTGTAATATTTTTGGAAGATGGTGGCTGAAAATAGAAGGGAAAGAAGAGGCATAGGGTTTTTTTTTAATTTATGAAAGTTTTTTATTTTTCAAGTAATTAATTATAGGCGAACATACGACATTAAGGAATGATGTGAAAGAAAATTAAAATTTCAGGAGATGTTTGTTGTGAATAATATGTGGATGGCTCACATGAATAGTTTGTTACTATTTATGCACAGTATTTTCACTATTCATTTGTGGAAAATTTGTAAAGTGAATAGTGCTTTCTTTTGTTTATATATTTGAAGAAGAGAAGAAGAGGTGAGTGACTTACGGAAGAGGAAGAGAGAAGAGTGAGAGAGAGAGAGGAAAGAAGAGGAAGAGAGGAAGAAGAGGAAATGAGGGGGAGATTAAAGAGAGTTATCTTTGTACTCCTATTATTTCAAATTATAATGAAAGCACCGCTGCTGCCCCGAGGACGTACTCCAGTCACACTGACTGTAGAGGAACCTCGTAAATTTTGTGTCTTATTTCATTTATTCTACTGCACCCACCGTCGATTTTACAACACGTTATTAGCATGAAAAACTCTCATGTCAGTGGAAAGCACAACACCATAAATCCGGTGAAGCATTATCTACCTCTCACCTACGTCAGCTAAAATCTCACATAGTAGAGACGGCAAGCCAGACATGTCAAACAGGAAGATCATCTTGTCACAAAATTCCATCAACCTTTCTTTTATTACTTTTTCTTTTATCACTCTAACTATTGATGTGCTAATCCTTATCCCTGCTAGATCTGCAATGTGTTTTCTCTCTCGTGAACAAGAAAGATGGAGAGATCTTACAGACAAACAAAGGTGCAGCAAAACAAGCAAAGGTATGTCCATTTTCCGTCTCTCCCAACGCGCCAGAAGCGCCCCACTGAATTCCAGTGAGAATTGAAATTTACAACGACCTGTAGTCGTCATGAGATGAGAAAACTTGTACTTGACAATTGGTTTCCAGAGATCCAGAAGAATCTCATCAGACTTGGAAACCCAGATCGCGTCATTTTTTATGGATCTTGAGAACTCCCATGAATACTCGGTTGTCTGAGATGGTGATGGCAAAACTAACTCCACTTAAGCCTCCATCTCTTGTGCCTCTGTCAACCCCACTGTCATCTATGTCTCTGTAGGGAGGTTCTTGCTTTGCGATGTCATGTTCTCTAGGCCATGTAAGAACAACGCCAGTCTCTAGTAGCCATTTTGGATTAAATTGGTTTTGTGTGACCTCTATAACAACCCAGCTGGTCCTAGGTTTTGAGACTAGTAGAGACAGATAAAGAAAGAAAAAGGGGGAAGTTTATGGAATATGCATGGCACCATCTGAAAAAGGCAATAATGCACAACACCATTTGAAAAGGAAAGAAACAAAAGGTTTTGGTGCTTGGTGCATCTGCACCATTTGAATGAAAAATAATAATTAAAAATGGAGAAATGGGGGCCAAAGCTTTGGAAAGATGCGTTGCATCATGTGAAAGAAAACAAAAACAAAAAGCAAAGCAAAGTTTTTGAATGGTGCACGGCACCATGTGAAAAAATGAATAAGAAAATAATAATAATAAAAAAGGTAAAGGTTTTTGGATGGTGTTATACCATCTGAAAAGAAAGAAGAAAACATATATTTATTTATGTGAATGGTGTTGACTTAAAACACTTTCACAAACTCTATTTATTTAAAGCAATTTAGTTACAGTTTGCTTTAAAGCTTTGATATTTATGTGCATGATGTTGGTTTAAAACCCATGTCACAAGTTCTATTTACTTTAAAGCAATTTATTTATCATGGACGGTTTTACCGCCTACTGCTTTAAGTTTTGATTTATGTGAATGGTGCTAAATTAAAACCCTTGTCACAAGCTTTGTTTACTTAAATGCAATTTATTTACTATGGCTGGAATTACCGCATATTGCTTTAATTTATTTATTGTACTTATCTTTTGTTACTATGAGTATATACAGGACCCAAAGTTTCTTGTTCAGATCAGAACCTGAAGTTTCTTGATCCTCATCACATAAAATAATTGGACCCAAAGTTTCATCATACAAAAAGATCAGGCATGAAGTCCCTTGATCCTGAAGATCAGGACATGAAATTCCTTGATGAGTACGGTAAGTTTGAAGTGCCACAGTGCCTCAACTTAATTGTAATAAAATCCATAAGAGTCTTAGTCTACAGACTATTTAATAAGGACCAGAAGTTCCTTATGTCCATACTCAAAATGGTTTAGCAGAAGCATTTATTAAGAGGATGAAATTGATTACCCGCACTCTGCTCATGAAAATGAAATTGCCAGTTTTGACATGGAGACATGTCATTTTACATGATTCATTATTAAGTTTGGTTGAGACCAGTTGCCAACCATTAATATTTCTCAGTACAACTCGTGTTTGGGCACCAGCCAAACATTAACATTTACGAGTTTTTGTTGTGTTATCTATGTGCCTGTAAGACTGCCACAACGTACTAAAATAAGACATCAATATAAACTGGTAATTTATGTTGAATTCGATCCACCATCTATCATTCAACATTTGGAGCCCTTGACTGGGGATATATTTACCGCATGATTTGCGGACTATGATTTTGATAAGACAGTTTTCCCGCCATTAGGGGGGGAGAAAATAACATTGTTCCAGAAGAACGATGAGAAAATATCATTCCAGAAGAATGATAAGAAAAGACCGTTCTAGAAGAACGAAGAGAATTTGTCTTATTTTGATTCACGAAGCAATCAATGAGAAAATGAAATAGGAATAATTGAATGATGCAACGAAAGTGATGAATCACATATATTTACTGCAAATGTGCCTACAAGAATTGATGTCCTTGTTGGACAATATAGTGATGTAGTAAATGATTTATCTGTTGCACGCCTGAAGCGTGGCAGACCCTTAGACTCAAAAGGTTCAGTCATTTGAAAAGAAGAAGAATATGACCCTACTGAACTATTGCATTCCCGAAGCATAACTGTTGCATGTTAGAAGCATGACAGTCGCCGCATGGATATACGTCCCAGAAAGAACAATCCACGAGCATGAGAATGTTGATGTCTCATGCATGAAGCATGATAGACATATAGATTCCAATGACTCAACTTCCAGAAGTGGAGATTAAAATCTAAGCTCTATAATGCTCAAGAAGAGGTTATGATCCACATTCTCTAAATTACAACTATCCTGGAAGAGATAGTGTAATGCCCTTGAAGCGGCAATGGATATCCAAAGAAATGAAAAACTTTTATGCATGTGCATGCACATGAGAATATGGGATCACTGATTGATGATAACCAATGGTAATTTTGGTTTTTACAAGTAGCTACTAAATTCATCAATGAGCTGTGTTAATATTGAGTCACGTTCTTTTGTTCGTTGACAAAAGGAAAATTATTGGCCAAAAATGGAGAAAGGCAATTCCATTACAATTTTGTAAGAACGTGGAAAAATGGACCTATATATTTGAATACAATACAAATAGCCAAAAGATGTTGAACCAAGGAGGTTATATATGTGCATTTGTAATACAGTGTAATACACTCACATGATATGACATAAGGTTGTAAACGAGTTCATATGAATGGAGAATTATATACGAAGGGTTGTGAGTCGCCCACTCATATCTCCATAAGTAAATCCCTCAAGTATACATGGGAGCAAATTGCTCTGTATAAATTCCAAATGAAAATGTGTCATGAAGTGTAGAAAATCCCTGAAGGATTCAAATTGCTTGAAGTAAGCCCCCGAAGGGTAAAACATAAAACTTATACTCAATACCAATGGATGGTATACATTGCCTTAGTGAGTATTATCATTATAATATTGTTGCAACATACTAAAATCTCTTGCAAGAAGTTGATGATATTAAATTAGAACTCCTGAAGAGTTGAATTGAAAATCCTGAAGAGTTAAGAAAGATTATAAAATGTTGAGAGAATTATTGTCTTGAGTTGCAGATCGAACAATTTACTAACACGAATCGTATCCATGATGTTTATGATATTAAAAGAACCATTTGGATTGAAGATTATGAGTTGAATACTCAAATGATGTAGACACTAAGAATAATCATTTATCTTCGTGAGGGTAAAGATAAATTGATATTTGGTCTAGAAGTACCACATCTTAGTGAAGTATATGCTTTATTGTATTTGGCACAATACATTGAATGAAATAAAGCTTATGTATTAATATCTTCAAGAAATTACAGATATGTATATACACATGAGTTAAAACAAACAAACAGGATGAAGCCTTCACAAAGGTTGCTCATGTGAAGTCTCAGTACTCGGAAGTACCCCAGAAGGGGGAGGCACTGGAGATTGATCATGTGGCACCCAGTACTTAGCAAAACACTAGAAGACGAAGGCATCAGTTGCTTTCGAAATCTAGCAACAAACCTCTGGTGATCACTTTGAATCCGACGCTGCTCGTCTGTATCACTCCTAAGACTCAAATCTAAGCAAATAAAATTTCAAAAGTGCAAGGTGAGGGAAATTTCTACAGGCAGCAACTTTCTGAGCATACTCTTGAACACAATTGATGTCTTTATAAAAGAAGAGGCAACATAGCTACTCGTTCAGAGATCAAAGAGGCACCGCTCTCCAAATTTCAAAAGCCAGATTTTTCTGAATAAAGTTCGTTGGCATTTTTCAGACGCAATCTTAGCTTTTTTGGATATCGCGTGCAACTTTGTCAAAGATCTCTGACAAAGTTGAAAACGCGTAAATCTTACTGTTTTATTTACATCACAGTTGCTGACAAGAGTAAAAGCACAGCACCACCACTTGCTATTGGGAAATCTCTATATATGTCGACCTCTGTTCTCCATAACAAGGCAGACCTGCAACTTTGCAAGAATACCTAACTCTTCCTCATCTCAGAGAATGCATCTTTAACAAAGCATCTCGAAATACTTAGTTTTCTTCCTCTTCGAGAATACCTCTTCAAACAAATCACACCAGAGCAAGATTATCTCATATCTTCAGGGACGAGAGCAAGAGTATCTCATATCATGCAATCTCCCTGTCATTTCCTTTGTCCTTGTTCTTACCAGCAAAGACAAGGATAAAGAAAACAATATGTCGGAACCTCCACTCAAACTCCCAGTAAGGAACCGGCTGCCTGGAACCTTTCCTGATTGTTTACCTAGCTTTCAAGTAGTCATCTTCAACTGTTGTTAGAGCTGGGTTTCCAGTCACCAAGAAGTGATGAACCATCCAAATGCAAAGGTTGCATTCCACTCCTGCATCAGAAGGCAAATACTGCAGGAGAAGATGCCACACATACATGGGGGAAAAGCAGGGAAAATACTACTTAAGCAAGGGAAGCAAGTAAGGAAAGTGAAAATGATACATTGAAGCATGTGGAGACAAGCGTAACAAACACGTGCTGATTCATCTCTGACAAAGCTGAAGATCATTTGCCACGTGAAGCTTCTCATGGTCCAATTTCATTCAAGATCAAGCCTCGAAGTCCTTGAAGAAATCACAAGTCCAATTAAAGATCAAGTGTCCACTACCCTTGAATCAAATTCCGCTTCAGATAAAAGGAGTAAATTTAGATCTTCGATGCAAGTCTAGCAGAAAGTCCTACAACCCAGTTCAAGAAAAAGCCTGTGGAAAGTTAACAACAAGTAAATCACCTATTTCGGCAACTCTTCTTACTAAGAGATTAAAGCAGAATGATCAACGATTAGCCTAAATGATTTGAAATCAGGGGGAGATACTCATCAGGGGGAGCATTCAAAACAGATCAAGATTTTACAGAGTCAATTGAAGACTTGTGGCCATCTAAGGGGGAGTGTTGTGAATAATATATGGATGGCCCACATGAATAGTTTGTTACTATTTATGCACAGTATTTTCACTATTCATTTGTGGAAAATTTGTAAAGTGAATAGTACTTTCTTTTGTTTATATATTTGAGGAAGAGAAGAAGAGGTGAGTGACTTACGGAAGAGGAAGAGAGAAGAGTGAGAGAGAGAGGAAAGAAGAGGAAGAGAGGAAGAAAAGGAAAATGAGGGGGAGATTAAAGAAAGTTATCTTTGTACTCCTATTATTTCAAATTATAATGAAAGCACCATCGCTGCCCTGAGGATGTACTCCAGTCACACTGACTGTAGAGGAACGTCGTAAATTTTGTGTCTTGTTTCATTTATTCTACTGCACCCACCGTCGATTTTACAACAATGTTAGTATTATTTATCAAACTTGAGAGGGTTCTGTGAAAAAGGAATAAACATCATCGGTTATTAATGTAATTAACCCTTTTAAACCGCTAGTATAGGTCCCACACACCTGCCACGTAATTAGGAAGATGAAAAGATGAACGGGCTTAGGCCAAGGACTATTTCTTAACATTTTGTCAAATTCAAAGACCAAATAATGAATTTTTAGTAATTTTTTTTTTCTGTTTTGAACTTCTTTTACCGTTCAACTAATTTATATATTCAGACTTAGGCA